GCTCGCACTGCAGCACCTGGGCCGGCGGTTGGCGCGCGACCGCGTCGCCCCGCGCGCCCCTCGCCACGAGGCCCCAGACGTGCGCCCCGAACATGAGTGATCCAAGTGCACTGGAAGTGCTGCGGGTTCCACCCTTGCCTCCCAACCTTGACGAGGCGAAGCCACGACACCGCGCGCATTCACTTGGCGAGGCCCTCGTCCGCAACAACCTGCTCCACGACCCCGATGAAAGCCCTGGCACATCGGGCCGCCCTCATCGCCAGACCCCTGCCAACGCCGAGGAGCATCTCCGTGTTCGCGACGACCTGTTGGACCTCTGTCCGAACGTGCGCGCTCGGTCCAGGCCAGGGCGCGGAAGGCCTGGTCGGGCACCGTCGGCACTCGTGGCTCGACAGCCCTGGCGTGCACGCAGTCGATGAAGTGCATGAGCGTCTTCGGCCAAGGGATGCCGTTCGCGCGCAGGAGCCATCGGCGCAGCGTCTCGCCCGCACGCGCGTACGACCTCACCGCGTTGACGCGCGCGCAGCCCGCGATGCCATGCAGCGCCCGCTCGGGGTCAATGTAGGACCGTGCCACCTCCAGCGAGGGCGCCTTCATCTCGCTGAGCAGCTGGAGCAGGCGCGGCCTCCAGCGTGCCCACTCACGGGCCTCCAGGTCGCTGCGGCTCTCCTCGGCGGCGGCGCGGCATTTCCGCGCGCGGCGGGTTCGCGCCAGCGCGCGGGCCATTGGCGGCGGAACAGCCTCGCGCCACGCCAGACAGCACCCGGCCAAAAGGCTCGCCGCTAATGCGTCCTCCGGCCGTGGGGCGCCCGCAACCGCTTCTGTAGCGGTTCTTCGGCCACCGCCTGGTCGACGAACTCCCTCAGCAGAGCCCATGCCTGCCCGTGCTTCCTTCACGCTGACGTCCGCGGCCGCCGCCACCAGTCCGAGCGTCTCCTCGAACTCGAGTTCCCTCGCCTGCGTCACCAGGCGTGTGCCGAGGAGGCCACCGCCATGCCGCACCTTGCTGACCCGCCGCCGCGCGGCGTCGATGGCGCACGGCCCAAGGGCCAGCATCTGCGCCCAACCGTTGTTTCAAAACCGGCCGAACGCCTGAGCCCACATGGCAGCAGACGCCGGGCAGTTAAGTAGGATACGATTACGTGCTGGTACACGGGGGATAGTTGTGAAGGAGGTGGAGGGGGGACGCGACCGACAGGACCGAGGGAGGAAAAGGGAAGGAGAAACGATGCGAGGGGGAAGCGCTGGGAAGAAGGCGCAGAAGAAGGAAGGAGGAAGGAGGCCTCCTCAAGGCGTTGGACCCGTGGGGGGGCCCTCTGATGGCCCTGCGGCGTCATACGAGGCGTTGTGTTCGTGGGTGGAGGTGGTCCCACGCGTTTGGCCATGGCGGCCATCCATGCGGAAGGAAGTCGGGCGCCAGACGACTCGACTTTCTCGATTCGCTGCCCCCCAGATCTCGCGACGCTTCCCCGCCAGACAGACTCTCATTTTTGAGGCCCTCCGCGACGCTTCGAGATTGAGAACTGGTCCTGGTGAGCGCTCCAGGATCCAGGGTCCGTTGCCCTCAATTGGGCAGGGACCGACCGTCCAGGCATTCCTATGGGCCTACCACGAAAGTTCTTAGAACCCAAAAATGCTCGAACAACAACTAAACTTGTAATATGAACCCGACGTGTTGAAACAAGACAGTCTCAACCAGAAATATTTCCAACGTTTCGCGAAGACCACAAGAGTTCTTGGAACATTGTTTCGTGGGCCTAGAAGCTGAGCCAGGGCGCTTCGCCACTGCTTGACTCGGACCCCCCCCCTCGCAAGCCGACGATGCGATTCGTTGGAGAACGCGGGGCCCGACCCTTTCGCCCCCGATCCGCCTGTGATGGCCCCAGGGCCCAGAAAAGGGGCGTCAGATGCCAGAGTCGAAGAAGAACGCCAGATTCTGTGGAAACCATGTGGAAATCATGTGGAATCAGGAAGGGCCAGACCACACCGAGGAAAAACGCAAAAAATTCTGTGGAAATCGTGTCGCCGGACGTCTGTGTCCAGCGATCGGGCCAGGACTCGGGTGAAGTCGGGCATGTCCCTCTACAGGGGGAATCTTAAAAATAGTCTGGGGACGATCTTTTGACTATTTTTTAATATTTGGGAGTATTCTTAAACATATTTTTGATGTTTCGCCCAAAATCCCCCTGAAGGGGGACACGCCCGACTTCACACCAGCGCGGCCGTTCGGCGCGAAAGCCGGGAACCCCCTACGGTGCGCTCCCGGCGGGGCGCGGCTGCTGGAGCGCATCCCCGAAGCTGGAAAGCCGCCGAGAGCCGACGAAGACGTCCGCAAACCTAGACTTAAGTCGGGCGTGTCCCCCTACAGGGGGATTTTTCTGGGAAAAATATAACATACTTGACCAATACCCCCAAAATACTAAAACATGGTCAAGAAATCGTCCCTGGACTATTTTCGTTGACTATTTTGGAATATTCTCCCTGTAGAGGGACATGCCCGACTTAAACCTAGAGCCTTCCCGGTTCCCGCACTAGAAGGCAAGACAAAGAAGGCCATGACCGAGACTGAATGTAGACACGTCGGGGCCGTCTGTCCATCTTGGTCGCCGTCGGTTCGAGGATCTTCCTCGCGAGCCGGCGGCGGCCGGCATCGGAGGAACAAACAAAGATATAGACATACAGTGTGGTGGCAAACGCTGTCAGTATTTGGTGGCAGACGATAGCAGACGATAGAAGCCGAAAGCAGACGATAGCAGACGATAGCAGACGATTGCACACAAGCAGCCCCTAGCAGGTCCTATCGTCTGCGATCTTCTGGAGCAGACGATAGCAGACGATAGCAGACGGCTGCGGGCCCCGGCAGCGCTTAGCTGGTCCTATCGTCTGCTATCGTCTGCTGCAGACGATAACAGACGATAGGACCAGCTAGGGGCCGCCAGAAACCGCCGCAGACGATAGCAGACGATAGCAGACGATTGCAAACGTCTGTCGAAGAATGCCGTCAGAACATGTCTAAACATTTGGGGGCTCCTGGAATATGTGTCTGTTTATGTGTGCTTCCCAGGGCGCCTTGCCTGCTGGCTCCGTTGCACACTCGACGGCCTTCTCTCCTGCTGGCTCTGCTGCCGAAGCTGCTGGTTCGCGTGCAGCCTTCGAGCTTGATGCGGCCCTTATCTCTTCCACCTTGTAACGTCCGTTGCGGGGGGGGGGGAGGGGGAGGGGGGGGAGAGTGGGGGGTAGTAGTGGTAGTAGTAGTAGTAGTACTCGTAGTCGTAGTAGTAGAAGTAGTACTAATAGTAGTAGTAGTAGCAGCAAAAGTGGTGGTAGTAGTAGTCGTAGTAGTAGTAGTAGTAGTAGTGGTAATGGTAGTCGCAGTAATAGCAGTAGTAGTGGTAGTAGTAGTAGTAGTAGTAGTAGTAGTAGTCGCAGTAATAGCAGTAGTAGTGGTAGTAGTAGTAGTAGTAGTAGTAGTAGTAGTAGTAGTAGTAGTAGTAGTAGTACAGCAGTAGTAGTAGTAGTAGTAGTAGTAGTAGTAGTAGTTGTAGTAGTAGTAGTAGAAGTAGCAGTAGCAGTCGTAGTAGTATAGTAGTAGTATCAGCAGTAGTAGTAGCAGTAAAGTATTAGTAGTAGTTCGTTAGTAGTCGTAGTAGTCGTAGTAGTGTCGTAGTCG